AATTTGGGGTAATGGGAGAAGATAACTACATAACCATTGAATGCCAACACACGTTCTAAATATAACAAACTATTATTAATATTATACTTATTTCGGTAATATTGCAAAATAAAATTAGGATTATTCAATAGAAAATTGAAAAGAATCTCTTTTTATGTATATTCTGCTTGAGTTACTCGATTTCTATCGAACATAATATATAAATTTATAAGTAATTTAATACAAAAGACAATATTTTCTCAAAATATCCTTTTCAAGACGTACCCAAACCAAAGATAACTTCTATTTTTCCATTCTTCGGGTCCATTTTGATGTACACAAAATGCAACTAACGAATAGGCTACTTGTCCTTGTGCAATATCTTCAAAAAAATGTTGTAAGGTACACACTTGAGCAATCAATACTGTTGTATATGTTGGCGCAAATGGTAACATCGAAAAAATCGAATTAATAATTGCAAAAATAATCATAGCTATGCAAATATTGAACAGAAGCCATTGCCGTTTTGATGAACGAAGTTGATCATGAAAACATCCACCCAATATGAATAACAAAGCAGCGATGAAAATATTCAAATTTAAAACAAAACGAATTACATGAAAAATCGCATACACAAGTAATTCTGAGTTTGTTGCCATATTTTTGTCAGATAGAATTGACACTACCTTCTCAACTTTGAAAAAAAAATGATAGTATTTTCTTTTTAGACGTACTATTTATTGATGATAATATTTATATGCGTAATTATAAATGATGAGTTCATCAAGTTGAAACTAACTTTTTTGTTAAGATCAAATTTATTATAATTTAAGAACTGTCAACATGGAGATTTTTTTTTCTATTGATAAAAAATATTTCATTATATTTCAAGTTGACTAGATGTCAAAATTGATAAACTATTAAGAAATTTTTTATTTAATTTATAATTCATTTTTAATATGTTTTTCTATTCCAAAAAAAGAAGTTGAGAATCTAAGCGAAGATTATTGTAAATTTCATTTGTATTCATAAAATCTCAATAACTATATGAAGTATAAAATGACATATATTGTGATTGTATAGGCAAATAAAACTTATCCGAATATGTGAAAATACGATAGATCAATATAGACTTTTCATAGAAAGCTACTAGGTGACTACTTCTCGATAATTTTGATTATCATGAGGTGCTATCATTATTATGTTTACCGTTTAATATTCATTTTCAATCAATACAAAACCATCAGAGTTAATGCAGAAAATAAATAAGTAGAATACTATTGATGAAAACAATGAAAAAGAAATCTTTAAAAAATCTAATCTATATATAATTATGCTGAAAACTCATATTTTTAAAAATATATAATATCATATAAATGGATTAAGATCAAGTTTGTTCTTATTCAAAACAAATATTAATTCAACAACTGGTGAATAAAAGATTCACATTGATCATCCAACGAGCCTATCTACTGTTGATAATGATCAGTCTTTTATCGATCTGCCCAAGAACGATAAACAAGAAATACCGAGTGAAAGCTTCTAATAAATGTTAATATATCCTATTTTATTAAGTCTTTGGACCTTTAATAATACATGCAATAATGTAAGAAAATTGATGCCATAAAAATCTAAAAAAGGATAAATCCTGTATATATCTATATCAAAATATTTATTCTTGTTTTACGCAGAACTACGAAGTCAACAGAAATATTGAGAGCAACGAATTCGGTTTTCATCTGTTTGAAACAAATAGTCGAATTTTATATTTTTCTCTCTCAATAAATTGAATTATTTATAGTATATAGAACATCAAGTCACTAGTCGTCAATTAGTGCATCTATAAGAAAGAAATGAATTAAAATATGATAAATTTCATTCTTCATTACTATATTTTCTATTTTAACACGTGTCTCTCTTGCTATATATATATATATTATTGTAATTTTCATTTGTTCAGTTATATGGTGAATCTATATATTTCGCTTTTCTATCAGTAGTGAATGGTGTCAAAATACCACAAATTTATCATCACAAGAAAAGGATGCAAAATACATTAACATAATATATGTTTTGTTTAAATGACTAATCTTCACATCTCACAAGTCAATAGTATGTAAATTTAAATAATCAGATGCTGTTCATTCATTAAATTTATGTGATACATTACAAGCTATTAATTACGTAGTTTTTACGACACTTCTGATGTGTTCAGTAATGGAATTAATGTTCTAGAACAGCGTTACATAAATTCATCGATGAAAAAAGTATATCCGAACCCTGAAATTATATATTTTCAACCCTTTATTTGAAGTTATTTATCTATGGCTCAAAAAATGACGCATATGTACTAAACTGATGTTATTCGAAAAATAAAATATGAAAATATGAAAGCAGCTCAAGTGAAAAACTATCCAGTTTTAGATGATTCTCCTTATGATAAAATATATTCTACTGAAGCTCGTAACTACGTCCTAACAGAATGATTGTATCGATAACGCTGACAGTTTATTTAATGATATACGTGGTGAGAATATGGAAAATCAAGATTGAATACTGTAAATATATGATTAAAAAGTATTAACAAAAAAAACAACAAAATCTTAACCTTAAAGCGAGCTGAATAAATTATTTCACTACTTCATGCAAACTAGAAAATGTATACAAACATCAACTAATAAAGTCTCAAAAGTACTGAAAGAAAATTTACAAACTGATGCAACCAGTAATTAGTTATCGACATTAAAACACGTTGGAACAGCACGTATACTATGATATTCTCTTGTAGCATACATCACCATTACTCGAATTCATTAAAAAACATTTTCCATTTATTATTAACATCAAAAGATAGTCTTCTGTTATTAAAATTCACATATAGTGACTAGATCAATCTTATCGTCAACAATTCAATGAGCATGCTGAGATTATTCCATCATGCTACTAATTGGCCTAATCCATTAGAATACGTTGTATAAATTATTTGGAACAAAATATTATATATTGCTGGTTAATTGATTTACGTCATAGACTTTTTTAAAGAAATTCGAAAATTCTTATATATTTTTTATGCTATTCGACTATCTATACATATACTTTAGCAACATGATTTTCATTCCGTAGACAAAACAAAAATCAATGAACAGTAAATTAAATGGTATTCCAAAATTTAACATGATACATAAACAACTTCTACAAAACAATATATATTGTTTCTAACAGTAACCAGAAATATCAGACGGAGAATTACTCGAATTTTGAAACAAATTTTCATCTAACAAGAACAAAAGTATTAAGTTGTTACAGGAAAAGCCAAATTCAGTTATATAGAATTAATTAGAGAAGCAGTTAGTTTTACATGTTCAGATCATGAAAGAGAAACAATGCGAATAACATTTCGTCATATCAATGAAACATTTATCGCGGAAGAATACTAACAATGTATTTTGGATTATTCTCCTATTAATAATTCAGTTGCAATAAATCGGAAAAACATTTAAGAAGCAGAATGAAAAAACTAATTTTACCCAATAAAGTAAATTTAGCAGGAAGAATTTTAGCGTATTTAAAAATTCGGATCTTAGTTAAAATAGAACATCAGGTGGACAAGGCATATTTAGATTTTAATTAATGAATTTACATGCTGATATGAATTTTATTAAAAATTCAAAATACCAAACGGGAAAAATGGTTATGTACTTTAAAACTGTTCTTCCTTCTATCGAAAGGAATTCACTGAAAATTATTTGTTGAATATCAATATGTGTTTTTAAGCAGAAGGTTCTTATTTTTACACTCAATGTACTTTTGAAAGATGATGTCAAAAAAGAGGAGAATGAATTTTTATTAAAATATATAAATAAATACCATCCGAAAAAATAATATATTGTGTCGTTAAATTACTAGTATGAATATTAGCCGAGTTGCAATCAGACTAACTATAGTAGACCAACGTAAGTCATTCCTAAGTTTTCTCGCCCTCTAATGATTAGACTTGTACGCTTGATTAGTCATATGGTTTTTAGAGACGTGCAGAATCTTCCTCATGCGTCCCCGCGCAGGGAGGAGAATTTTTTTAAAATTGCATTTTTCGGGGAAATTTTTGAAGATTCTGGGGAATTTTTCAAAATTTACTTCGGGGAATTTTTTGAAAAAATTTTCCCGGGGAGGGAAATTTTTGATTTTTGGGAAGATTCTGCACCTCTGGGTTTCTAGTATTTTCCCATAACTTTCTTTTTCACTAAGGTAAATCAGTGAATAGAAATTGTGCAACATATTAGATTTTTTATTAATTGTACCATACCATGTAAAAGACGTTCTATATTGCTATAGAAAGATGTTCACTCACCCTGTTAAAATTATGCGAAAAGTTTGTCTATATTGTCAGGAATATTTTTTCTGTATAGAACCAAATTGTTGTACGTATCATAAATTCTACTGACAGAATTTGGGGTTTTTTTCAAAGATTTCTGTATGATATAGCTAATATTTTTGTTTAAAATTATAGTAGAAAAATGACATATCCGTTACTTTTTTGTCGAAATAAATCAATCTTGAAATTGTTACCGCTTACGTTGTTCTCTCTTATTATCATCATTTCCATATGCTATATTAACAAAAAGAAAAGGATCACACAATAAACAATATATACGGAAAATGTTATTTTATATTATAGTTAAGTATATAATATTATAAGTTTTTGTGAACTACTCCAAGAATGAAAAATCTTTATTCTTTATTTTCGAAAATAAAGATCATCCAATTGAATGAAATTGAGAATAATACTTAGAACGATGATTACATGTCCATAAAACGAACTATCTCATCTCATTTAATTTGAGTTTTGAGATAAAAGAAAAATTTTTAATATAGGGTTCTAACCCTGTCATCTTTTACTTATTGCCTTAAGAGTAGAAAGAATTTATATCAATTGTAGAAAATATATTATTAATAAATTTTAAGCATTGCCTGTTCATAAATAATTAAAGTTCTTTTTGAAAATAGATCAGCATTATCATAATTTAGTTTTGTTTGCTCTGTTCTACTGCATATTTCTTGGTCCAGTTTTCAGCAGTTTGATAAAATTCTTTTTGATTTGTTCGAAAGACTCTTAGAGCATCTTGATTAAGACCATGTTCAGGATTAGGATCAGACAAAAGGGAACATAACGATATCAACAGACTACGTATTGTAAATACTGGAGACCATTGTGAATGTAGAATGTCCAGACAGATTTGACCATCAGTACCAATATTTGGATGATAGATAGGAGTGATAAACTTTATCTCGGGCGCTCTAAATGGAAAATCTAGTGGAAAATCAATAATCAAACGAAATTTTCCACCAACATATGGGGTACCCGGTGGACCTTCAACCCAACCAGTCCAATGAGTCATGTTTTTGACAGGATCTTCGGGTTCTGCATGACACAACGGAGGTGGATTTTTTTCCATCTCACCATGATGAATAACAAGACGTCGTACAAGAGCCATTAAGAATATTAAAATTTAATCTGAAGGAAACAATTTTATGATTTTCTTACATATTTAATCACCTCTAATTAATTTAGAGATTATAAATATATCAATACTTTACTGATTCACATTATTAAATAAAAGATTGAATTCGTATCTTATTGATGATTTTCATAAAATTAACTCAAAAGCAAAAATAGAATACGCTTTAGACAATATAAAAAAAGAGTTCTTAAGATAGATGTATATATATATATATATTTGTAAAAAGTAAATTCAAGTACTTTTTTTGATTTTCTGTCACATCCTCAATAAGCAGTAGTAATTCATTTAGATTCATCCGTTGGAAACGTGTCATCTAACTGAGATACCTTTTCTTGATCTTCTGTAGCATATTTTTTTGTCCATTCTCTCGCATTTTCTTCATATTTTTTTTT